ATGGAATTCTGCCTCTTCCCTCCATCCGACTGCAGCAGTATTTTTGGCCCCGATGATAAGGTGGTCATTTATCCACTCCTCTGTCTGCTCCCTGGAACAAAATGACATGTAAAGCATATTTCTGTTAAGTCAACAGGCAAAATAACTGTTCTGTATAATTACACCGGTATTGTTCTTCAAGTGAATTATACTTTAAACCGTATTATAATGTACTGTACATTAACTATACATTATTGAGTATTAAAACAAAACGTTTGCAGTATTGACAGCCCAGTACAGCTGGACTAATGTTATTTCTTCAGCTGCATTAAGCTTTAACAGCTCTAATACTTTGTAATAAACTGTTTGAGAATAAATTGATCCGATTAGTGAGGGATACGGCTATCAGTACAGTAAGATGTAGGTTAAAATAAAAAATAGTGACATTTGTATGACGGCTTTTAATTGTTGATGAGCATCTTGTATCAACAGGTTAGCTCTAAGCTTTAGCTTTAGCTGCTCCTACACATTCCGGTGGCTCCGTTACCGTCACGTATTTTAATAGATGTTCATAAAAATAAAAAAAACTACTTACATTTAAAGGTGTTCTCCGCACTACTGCCGGCGCTGCTGCTGCTTTCGGTTGTCTGTAATTTGAAGAAAATCCGACTTTCTTCTTCTTCTTCAACTACTAACTACGTATGTTTTTTCTTTCTTTTTTCTGGCTTAATGAGAGCAGTGGGCTTTAGGCTGCCCTGCAAGGCTTTAAACCTGGGTTTAAATGGAGACAAAGCCATTCTCAAGCACATATCAAGGAGCTCATTTTGAGCCTGGATCCATATTTATTTTTGATTCTGTTCATGGTGGAGAATCCTGCTTCACAGCAGCAGGTTGAGCCAAACATCCTCTAAATGTTCAGGGTAATCTTTGAGCACCATTTCACTTTTCTGTCACCAGTTCACCACAGTTCTTCCAGCAGTCCACACTTTCTCAGCTCTCTTTTTCTCATCGTCTTCTCCTTCTTTCCCATCGCCCGGCTTGCCACAGGTTTGCCTGCTGTGTCTAAAAGTAGCAGCAGCAGCAACCCAGACTGACAGCAGCTCATTGGCTAATATGTATCACGTGCAGCCTGGTGCCGGGTGGTTTACCGTACAAACAGGAGAAGCGGCGCAATTGAAATCAGACAACATGCACTAATTTATAAATGTTTTAATTCAGGTTTGGTCCGCTTTAGCCAGCAGGTGGGTCCGGTCTGTTGTTACAGACCCGCTAATCCGTGACCTCTGCTCTAAACATTTAAACACCCTTGTGACACCTGTGAATAATGGTGCATCATGGACACATTGGCACTGCTGGTAGATGTTGAAAGTTGTGGAATTCAGGGGAAACTTGTTTTGAGGGACCAAGATTCCCTAACCAACAAAGGTAACTGGCCATATGGCCGCAGGAAGTGGGGGTGCTGAAGCAACCCCTAGTGGCGAGAGGGAGACTTTTTAAAAAATTTATTAAATATACTTTGCACAATTTCTACATTTCTTATAAATATTTTACTTTTTTATTTTACAATTACCTCTATTTGGATTTTAATTAAATCATTTTGAGGCCTATTCAACACAAGTTCACTAAAGTTGCGTTGTCATGGCAGGTGGTCACCGAGGTATCCAACTTACAACAGCGTACTAGTACATTTACAAAGTCGAATGACAGAAACGCATTTCGTATTTTTTGGGAAAACTACCACCAGTGAAAAAGAACACTAATACTGCAACCATGACAACAAAGCAGCCAGAGTGAGGAGACTTTCTGCAGTCTTTGATGGCAGATGCACCGCTAGGCACAGTCTCAGCACCCGCAACCCAACCTAGTGTGATCGGATTATGCAAGTCCTTCCAGCCAACATCCAGTTTAAATTTCCTGCACGGCGTTGTGATAATGAAATGTTCTGTAGCTTTGGTAGATGGCAGAGGCGGCATTTTGTGTAAGAGACTGATCATGCTTTGTATTTTGTTTGTCTGCAAAGAATCAAAAAAAGTCATACCTAGAGACAAATTTAAAAATGACAATCCCTTCGTGAATGCCGGCTTTTCAAATTGGCATAGAGCCACTGAAAATTTTTATATTGTGAAGTTTAAATAATTGCAAAAATAGTCACCTAAGAACTGATTTATGATTAATGTTTGATGATGTTACAGACCCAGGTTGCGTCCACTGAAGTGTACCTGAATATTAAATTAGTGACTCTCGATCTATTTATTTATGTATTTTTATTGTATTTGGACTTATAGGCTTATAGGTATTTTGTCCAAAAAAAATAAAAATAAAACATTTTCACAGCACCCCCGTTCCAAAATTACTTCCAGCGGTTCTGACTGTCCATTCAGACTGACTAAGTCCAGTGTCCTGCACCTTTCAGAGGTGACTGATTCACATGTCTAAATCCTCCTCAGTTTGCAGTCATGGACTCCGGAGTCCTGCTACTAACCTGATTTTTTTTAATCGTGTGTGTTGAGGCAGAGACACCCGCCCTAAAGCATTGCTGTTAGATGAATGTGTTTAAAGGCACACTATGCAACATTTTTCAGTTAATTAATGTGTTCCATAACGTTTTGGATGATTAAATGAGTCATTTCAGGTTGAACAAAGGTATTCTCGGCCGCCCTAGTGGTCTGTGGGGGAAATACCGCACTTGCAACTGCAGGAGCACCGACCCGCACCCACAGGCTCAGAAGTCTCGCGAGAGTCGGTCTTGCTTTACGGCGAGAACTGCTACAAGCCCCCAGTTAAAAGCATGCTCGTTGCTAGCACAGTGGCGATCTTTGTGCAGTTATCATGGCGGAACCAGCGTGAAAACAGCGAAAGCCCATGTCGGAGCAGGCAGGAAAAGGGCTCCGGACAGAGAGAGGAGTCATACACGGGTGAACATTGGGCAAGCTTTTTCCGAATGGCGAGAGCTAAAATAAAAAGAAGGCTGCAAGGCTGACGCGGACCTCGCGTTTCTGCTGATGCGATTGTAAGTAACATTGGAATGGTTTCTCTCTCTCTGTGTGCATGTTCATACTTTCACTGTGTTAGTCATTCGTTGCGTTCGCCTGTCTGCTAAGCTCAAAACAACCGCGCCTGGCTTGACGGAGAAACCAGGAGAACAGCTGTGCATATTTACGACAGTGCACTTTTACTTTCGCCCTCTGGGGGGAGCCTCGCTGGAAAATCAACACCGGTTGCTGCATAGTATACCTTTAACAGGGCCAACAACTAGAACTCCATGGCAAATAAATAGGATTTGCTATTTATTTTGAAGATGCAGGTTTTTGTATATATATATATATATATATATATATATATATATATATATATATATATATATATATATATATATATATATATATATATATATATATATATATATATATAATTATTTCTATTTGCCATCCATAATACAGTGGGTGATAAGTATTGAACACGCCACCATTTTTCACAGTAAACATATTTCTAGAAGTGCTATTGACATGACATTTTCACCAGATGCCAGTAACTATCCATGCAATCCACGCATACACAGAGATTAAACCATATATATACAGAAATTAGGTTATGTGTAATAATGCGGAATGCCACAGGAAAAAAGTATATATTTACTAAGAAGAATGGTGGCATGTTCAATACTTATTTTTGTTTTATTTGTCGGTCCTCTATTGTAGCTACCAAACATTAAGCATCCGACTCTCCAAACTTATCTTCTCTGTGGCTGTGGGGGCTGGTGTTTTTATTTGTGTCCTGTTTGAGAAGGTGCTCAGGGTCCATCACAACTATTAATACTGAGATCAGAACTAAAATAAAATTCAAGATCTTTAGAACTAACTGCCAGTTTTAGTCCAGGAGGCAGACACCCTGTCTGGGTAGGCCTAAAACTTTCCTTTTTGATAAAGCTTATAGAGTGGCTCAGGTTATCCTGAGCTATCTCTATAGTTCTGCTGCTATAGGCTTAGACTGCTGGAGGACATAGGGGCCCCCATTTCATCATTCTGCTTCATTCTATCTCTATTCTCCCACTCTGCAGAATCTGTTAGTTCAATCTCAATCATTCTGCTCTCTCTGCCTTTTCTCATAGTAGCTTCATCTGGTCTGTTCCTGTTTGGCTGTGACTCCATCCTGGAGAGAAATATTAGCTGTGCTGCTGCCATCAACACTTTTTATTTATAGATGTTGGAGAACAGCCTGTCTTCCAGTGTAGTTCTGTTTCTCTGACTGTGACTGGCTGGATGTGCTCTCTTCATCCTCTGTCATGGGAGCTGGTTCAGTGCTTGTCTGCCTGGCTGTGTGTTTCCTGGACAGAGCTGCCTTTTACAGCTGCTTTTTGTATCTCTGCTTCTGTCAGTCAGCAGATGGCCGCTTACGTTCAGCCTGGTTCTGCTGGAGGTTTCTTCCTGTTAAAAGGGAGTTTTTCCTCTTCACTGTCGCTACAAGCATGCTTAGTGTGAGGGATTGCCTTTGAGTCAATGAGTCGATGCAATCAACTGGTTTTCCTTAGATAGAAAACTTTGAATCAATTTGACTGGATGATCTGCTGAACTGTAAAGAGGCTTGAGATGACATGTGTTGTGAATTGGAGCTATAGAAATAAACTTAATTGAATTGACTCTATTAAACCACAGTAAGTCCAGTCTCCGTAATCTGCATGTCTGTCTACATATGTTCCCAATCTCATATTATTACAGTCTGTCTGGGATCTCTTTCTGACATACTGAAAGTTTTTAATCTGCTTTAACAGAAACCCAGGAATCACACTAAATAATACAAGTAAAATCCCCAACTAAAGCTTCTCTGTAATTGGATCCTCCCTTTTTCTTAGATTTCTTTCCCTAGAACTTTGATCATTAAAGGTCCGCAATAAGATCAGAGAACAAAATGTTTTTGTCTGAAAAAGTTTTTAGCTTTTTAGACTAACCACTAGAGCACCTCCTGCAGCTATTTTAGAGCCAACACATCGGTGAACATCCCTGTAGAGTTCAATGGGTCCAGAACACTAACAATATAAATATATTTTTTTTATTGATTTTCTCTCAGCTCCTTCAGCTCATCCCTTACTTCCATTCTACGGGAAACCAAGGATGTCCTGCTGCAGCTTGCAAAAGTAACACACACACCCCAATACTACCACCAGCTTAGTCTGAGCTCTTCAGTAATGTGTCCTCTGTGTCCATCAGGAGTTTTACTGCAGCGAGCATCTCTGCGAATTCAGCCTGCTCCCTAAATCAGTGGAACAATGGGCTAAGAGAATGCAGCAACAGGAGCTGGGATACCAGGAGCAGGGCAGAATGTTCCTGAGAAAAAGCAAAGATGGTACATGAGGATTCACAGCATTAACAGGCTCTGACTGGTAATCTGTGATAGCTGGCATTCGCCCGGTGGGCCGGTCCTAATTTCAGTGTGAGAGGGCCGGCTTTCCTTTAATCATATCGGCCCCAACACTAACCTCTAGCCGAAACACCTACGGTACCTTGACTATAAATACCTCAAGGAGCTCAAGAAGTAATACAATGTTAACTACTTACCCTGCCTGGCCAAAAAAAAAGTCGCCACCAAAAAAAAGGTCTCTCACTCTAATACTTTGTTGGACCGCCTTTAGCTTTGATTACGGCACGCATTCGCTGTGGCATTATTTCGATAAGCTTCTGCAATGGCAAAAGATTTATTTCCATCCAGTGTTGCATTAATTTTTCACCAACATCTTGCATTGATGATGGTAGAGTCTGACCGCTGCGCAAAGCCCTCTCTAGCACATCCCAAAGATTCTCAATGGGGTTGAGGTCTGAACTCTGTGGTGGCCAATCCATGTGTGAAAATGATGCGTCATGCTCCCTGAACCAGTCTTTCACAATTTGAGCCTGATGAATCCTGGCATTGTCATCTTGGAATATGCCTGTGCCATCAGGGAAGAAAAAGTCCATTGATGATGGAATAACCTGGTCATTCAGTATATTCAGGTAGCCAGTTGACCTCATTCTTTGAGCACATACTGTTGCTGAACCTAGACCTGACCAACTGCAGCAACCCCAGATCATAACACCGCTCCCACAGGCTTGTACAGTAGGCACTAGGCATGGTGGGTGCATCACTTCACCTGCCTCTCTTCTTACCCTGATTCGCCCATCACTCTGGAACAGGGTAAATCTGGACTCATCAGACCACATGACCTTCTTCCATTGCTCCACAGTCCAATCTTTATGCTGCCTAGTTAATTGAAGCCTTTTTTTCCGGTTAGCCTCACTGATTAGTGGTTTTCTTACGACTAAACAGCTGTTCAGTCCCAATCCCTTGAGTTCCCTTCGCATTGTGTGTGTGGAAATGCCCCTACTTTCAGTATTAAACATAGCCCTGAGTTCTACTGTTGTTTTTCTTCGCTTTGATCTCACCACACGTTTAAGTGATCACCGATCACCATCATTCAGGATTTTTTTCCGGCCACATTTCTTCCTTGAAGATGATGGGTCCTCACTATCCTTCCAGTTTTTAATAATGCGTTGGACAGTTCTTAACCCAGTTTTAGTAGTTTCTGCAATCTCTTTAGATGTTTTCTCTGCTTGATGCATGCCAATGATTTGACCCTTCTCAAACAGACTAACATCTTTTCCTCGACCACGGGATGTGTCTTTCAACATGGTTGTTTAGGAAATGAGAAGCAAGTCATTGCACCAGTTGGGGTTTAATAATTTGTTGCCAGCTGAAAGATAATCACCCATGCAGTAATTATCCAATAGGAGGCTTGTACCTATTTGCTTAGTTGAATCCAGGTGGCAACCTTTTTTTTTGGCCAGGCAGTGTAAATACAGTATATGTAGCCCTTCTTTGTCATGCACATCCTTGTGACGGTGTCATTTTCTATTTCTTCAAACTGTAAAACCCTTGAAACAAACTAAATTATAATAAAACAAAAATACTTTCTTAAAACCAAACTACAATGTTCCTCTTATATTTGACAAATTTATGTTTGAATATTTTGCAAAAATGTGTTGCGGTGCATGATTGGGTTTTGCATCTAAAGGCTAACGTTTCCCGTATTACGTGCATTGTTGCCAGGTTGGGATATATCCCAATCCGGCAGTTTAGGATGGCCATCTATGGGTAAAACATGTTTTTCGTCAGAGTTATTGCCTAAGAGATCAGTAGACTTTGGTTCAAATTTAGCATAATTCACCTTGCTGTTCCATGCCTTACCTGTCCTCATGCGTCCTCTTGTCTCAGAGCTGGTGAGGCAGCTGTTTGTGTTCAGGGGGCTGCTTAGGAGCTTACCTGAGATTTTGATCAAAAACCACGAAGGACAACATGTGACTTGGCTCACAGCGGAGGTAGGCGCAGTCCAGGAGAAGCTGGAAAAGCAGCTGGCGACCAGCGAGGAGGAAAAGGTGCGAAGCTAAGCTGCAGATTTTCTCTAACAATGACGAAGCTCCCAGAGGCTGAAGCTGCGTTTCGTTCTCAGAACTCCAATTTCTATGGGCTGAAGGTGTCTCTTGGAGAGAAAGAGCTGCAGACACTTAACAGCAAGGAGGAGCTCAGACAGCAACAGCTGCTCAGCGCCACCCTCAGCACACACCTGGAGCTGCAGGCAAGAGGGGGAGGAGCCAGAGAGATGCACAACTGTAGCCTCGGCCTGAAGACCTGTGTGTGTGTTCAATGCAGGAGTGTTTGAGAAGGAGAGCAGAGGAGTTTGTGACGTCACTGTCCTCCCTGACAGAGAAGCTGCTGCATCTCCTGGATGAGCTGCTGATAGCTGAAGGTAACGTTGACCCATTTGACACCAGAAGGAACCTCCAGACAGAGTTAGAGGTCAGGAGCCCCATCAATCCAGAAGACCAGGATTCAATTCAATTCACATTACACATCATCTCAAGGCACTTTCCAGTTCACCAGATCATCCAGTCAAATTGATTCAAAGTTTTCTATCTAAGGAAAACCAGTTGATTGCATCGACTCATTGACTCGAATGCAATCCCTCCCACTAAGCATGCTTGTAGCGACAGTGGAGAGGAAAAACTCCTATTTACCAAGAAGACAAGGACCGTCTGTTCTTTTGGCAGAAGGTATTTAATTTATTTTTATGGTTCTGTTCCTGCAGAACCTGATCCAGCAAAACCTCCCAGTGCTGTAACCACAGCAACAGAGGCAGGAAGTGAGCTTAGAGGAAGCAGGTAACGTCTGAGATACCTGACAAGATTCAGAAGAACTTTAACAGAGTGCCGCTTTCCAGTAAGTCAATGGGATTGTGTTTGTTTCAGGGAATGGCTCGCTATTGCTCGCCGTCTTGCAAACCTTAACTTAGCAGAATCCTTTATCCCAAGACCAGCATCCATCACCACAGCCAGGAGCAGCCGGAATTTGGTTATTGAGCAGAGAGATGCAGCATTAAAGGTGATCACCAGCCCCACACACATACACACACACAAACTCTGCCACCATGTGTTGAGTCCCATTGATTTCCATTGATTTTCAGTCATTTTCAACCTTTTCTTTGCCCTAACCCTAAAACTAACCCTAAACCTAACCATTACCAATGCATACCTCACCCTAACCCAATGGACACCTTAGCCCTCAACCTAACCATTAGCAAAATAGCTTGTGAGGACCAGCAAAATGTCCTGACTTTACAACAACTGCTCCTCAATTTGATGATGAAATTGGAAAAATGGTCCTCACTCTGAGGGCTAGACAGGTACACACAAACACACATACATATCTTTGTATTTCTCTCTATAAAAAGATTTTGCCTCCAAAATCATTAATTTCTATGACCTTGCATTGACCTTTACACTAAACCTAATCCTTACCAGTACAGCCCTAATGCTGGTCCGATTGCTAATCTGAAAAATTCAACATATTTTACTGACTTGGCTTATATCCTGTATTGTGTGGCACAGTGTGTCAAACAATTACTTCCTGTCAGCATAGAACCATGAAAAAAAGAGTATATATAAAATGGTTAGACTCCACTCGGATTTCATGTACAAAGAAAAGTAAAAATGTTCTTATCTCATAGGCATTACTTAAATACCTACATACTAGGGATGGAAGGGTTTATGAAAACCGTCCGAACCGTTTTGTTCGACTGTCTCTGTTCGGTTCGCGTGTGTTTCGTTCTGTTCATGCGCTGCTCCTTTTTCTCATAGGCGAAGCGTTTACACTCCAGAGCAGAAGGTGGCGGTACTGCGACCAAAGCCAACCACCAGTAGTAAACAAGAAGAAGAAGAAGCCAAGCAGCGTAGCTGGATGTAGCAGAAAAAAATCAGTTGTTGTGGAGAATTGTGTGGGTATGGCGAGTGGGAAAGAACAGGAGTTGGAAGACGCGCCAGCAGCACTTTATAGGTCTGCTGTATGGGACCACTTTGCATTTAGCGTGACCTACGATGACAGCGGAAAGAAAGCTGTGGATAAAAGTGCAACAGTGTGCAAGCATTGTGCAACACGTTTTGTTTATGCTAACAGCAACAAGACCAACATGTCATGCGAACCCTGAAATCCCACATACTCCGTCAGCGCTTCGCTCTGCCCCGCTGCGCTCCAGACCGCCTGCACAAAGCAAAGCCTACAGCCTCCTCTGTGGCTCCCATCCGCTCCGCTCTGAGTTCCTTGGAGATGGTAGAGAGCATGCGCAAGATGATTAAATTCAAAGCAGCACAACATGCGGAAATGATCCAGGGTTTCCGCGGATCATTAAAAATAATTACAATTCATTAATTTTTGGGGATTTTATCATTTATTTCATTCATTTTTATGGGATTTCAGGGTAACAATCAACATATACCGAACCGAACCGAACCGTGGATTTTGTGAACCGTTCCACCCCTAATACATACCACATAGTTTATTTATTAACAGTTGTTAATTAACTTAAAATGCCTAAAAAATATATATTTTATTTTTATTTTATTCTAGTACTTTACTAGTTTTGCCACATAAAAAAATGCTTATTTTTACTTTCAGATGCATTTTATAGCATTGGGAAATATCCCTGCATAATTGGCCAGCTTTTAGAGCTGTTACTGGGGATTCTTAGCGCACTTGTCTGCAGGGGTCTGCTGCTCAGAGCAGTTACACAATATTTAAAAGAAGAATCCTAATCCTGATGAACTGACTGGACAGATGATGTTTTGAGATGTAATTTCTTGCTCTTAAAACTATCTACTTTTCCACTCATCCGTGAATAAAGCAAAGCCATTCTCCTCTTCGCTTCTGTCACTGTAAATGAGAACCAGTGTTACAACAAAATCTGTCACCCATCCTTTATTGTGACTCAAGGGCGGCTACATGTATTTCAGACTTATTTAAGTTTTGGATCAATTCTGTGACATTAGGTTTAAGTATGAATCCTTTGACGTGTGTCAAGGGTGTTAAAATTAGCTCAAGTGTGACGTACTGTGCTTTTAATCTGGAGCAAACACAACCCCAAAACTGGTCAATACCAGATCTTATCAGTCTTTTATACTTTGAGAATCACACAGTAATTTTAAGGTCATGCTGTGTAAACCGACCCAAAAACTGGCTGGTTAAAAACTTAACACTGTCCTCTCTTGGCATCATCTAAGCACAGTAATCACCGGCCACTGTGAAATGAATGTGTACTTTTGTGTCTGTCAGCGCTTTCAGCAGCTGATCCAGTCAGAGGAGTCCAGTTCTGATGTCAGCAAAGAGAAACAACTGGGCAAACAGCACAGCTGGACGTCCTACTGGAAACAACAGATTCTCGCTATGAGGAAATTCAAAGGCTATGTGACACCGAGTGAAGACAATTGATTTGCTGTTTTGTTTCTGTAATTATAGTTGTTCAGCAGGGGGACGACGATGCTGTAAAGTCTGCTGTTTATCTGCTCTAGTTTTGATGCATTAAGATCTGTTATTAGCATCCCTGCTTGTTTGATTTGTTAATTGTTATATGTTATATTTGATCTTTTGGAACATTAAAGTTGATTTAAACAGCTTCAAATGGAACAATAACCTCATTTTATTAAATGGGCTCATAAATGAACTGGGGAACATTTCGTTTTCTTCCTGTCAGGTTAGAATTTTGTCAACTATTTTCCTGAAGGTGTTTATTGAAGGAAAAGTTCAGTCATCAAGGAATAATCAATCGATAATTGTTTATACCTAAAATGTATACGTTTGCAGTGATTTAATGAATTAAGTGTTAATCAGTAAAAAAATAAAGATAATTTTCGCTGCCATCCTTGAGTGCGGAAGCGACCATTTTTGCCCAAATATAGGAACACCTCAATCCTGCCATCTTCCGGCAGTGACATCCTGGTGCGGTAAGCCTGGCGCCATTCTCCCCGCTTTAAAAGCAAAATCATTGGGAACTACTAGACACATCTGCAATCAACAAAAATTATTGAAGATTTCCAGAGGACTTCTCCATTGAAATTCACCAGAGCTATAGTTAAACTGACAATACCCACGTGCATGGCAGCTGGATGCTGGAATACATCGAGTAAAAGTGAAAAAACATTTCATTTCACCTTTCCGATTCCTGATCCTCCACGGATGGGTTCGTCGTTGGATCGCCAACTTGAAGAGGGAGGATTTGCCATCGAACTTCTGACCAGAGAAAAAACATGTGATATGTAGCCAACATTTGGAAGAAGAATGTTTTCAAGATGACTTGGATAATAGCACATTGTGACAAACACCAGATACAGCACTGGGACTTGATCGACAGCCGATACCGCACCGTGACGTCACAAACCAGTAGGTGGCAGTAGTGTTCTTTGACAAACATGGATGCCTCCAGTAAAGCACATTCAAAAGAAAATGACTCTGAATTAAAAACACTTATTTATTGAACAGTATGGAATAATTTCAAATGTAAAGTGCTTTCAAAAATTTTGATTCTAGATATGACCAGACTTTTCCTTTACGGCGGGACAAAAATAAGTGAATGAGAGGCCTACAAGCATCCAACAGTGGTTAAAATCCCCAGAGATCCCCAAGAGGCTCCTGACCCAGCGGCTGGTTCAGATATTTTAATGAAAAAGTTCAGTATTTGTTCTTGGGAATAAATATCTGCGCTATATGAAATTAAAACATGCTGTAGAAGAAATATCATAAATCAGAACAGAAAACCGAGTTTCTTTAATTCTGTCGTAAATCAGAACCAGACCAAAGACTGTGAAGGTTGATGACTGAAGCTTGGGTTCCCTTCAGAAAGATCTCCAAACCTCAGAATTAGTCTGATTCTGTGATTTCATCTGAGTTACAGGCTGTCCACTCTCTGTTGGTGAAACTCAACATCAGGGCTCATATCCCGTTGTCATGGAAACCACCTCATCCTCAGGAGGAGAGTTGCTGCAAGATGGATTTTAAATAGTTAGGAAAGTGATGTTCACCTGCGGTGAGACTTCAGGAGGAGTGTTGGAAATGGACCAGGAATTTGGATTCGCCATTGTGAGGCAACTGTAAGACTCTCAAGGCAGACGGAAAACCAATCTGCTGTCAGCCTTTGTAAAATGTCACTTTCGGTCCCCTGCACGTCTTACTGTCCAAAAACATTGTTACGCTACAGTACACAGACATCCGTCAAGCACTATGACAGAGCCCGCAGGCCTTCAGTACTTGTGGTTCTCATGTGCTCGTGAAACGTCATCAGCCTCAGCCCTAATACTGTTCCAATTCACAAGAACAGCAGACCGAGAAGGGACAAAGTCCCCGGATGTTGTTCTGGCGCCTCCCTCTTTACCCAGCATGCATCAGAGCAGACTTGTCCGTTCTTGAGATTGACGGCTGTCCCAGCATGCACTGCTTGCACTGCTGCTGCAGCAGCTTTCAATGGAGCTCAGGGTGTTAAATTAATGAATAACCCCAACCAAACACCAAAGATGGTGCCTGCCTTGTACATCATTGGTTCCTGACATGTCAATCATGGTTGTCTGCTTGTCCCTCCCCCCTGTGTGCTTACCCTTACACATGAACGAATCGACCCCTCAAAGCTCATGCAGGCCACATGGCTGGAAGCTAGCCACTGTTATGCTACGTTTACACCACAAGAAGCAGGAGCAGCAAAAACATGTGTGCTGCTTCATTTTTTAAGCTTGTACAAGTTTAAGCTTGTACATAGTTGGTGGAAAAAGTGGGTCTGATGCATTGGGCGGAGCTACCCTATCCTTTCTTTGCCTGTAACAATGGCAGCTATATTTGCTGTGATCAGTGGGTAAAAATTGTTTGAATCTATTTTTAAGTGAGAAAGTCCACCTGAAAACATCGTCAGTGCAGTCAGTTCATCCAGATTACCATCCTGCCTTAAAATCTTATTTCTGTCGGAGCAGCTCAGACCCCGGCGGTGCGCTGTTACTAGGGTTCCCGTTCAACAGCGGCCTCTGACCCGGTTGCCTCTTCGCTAGGGATGGGAATCGAGAACCGGTTCTGTGTGTTCCGATTCCATGGCACCGTTTGGCAGCTCGCTTAACGATTCCAGGCAGCACCAGAGTCTAGCGCTGGGCAGCAAGACTTGCGTCACGTTTTTTACACAAGTTACGCACACGCCATTCAGTAAGCAAGTACTGTGACTGGCTGTCATCGCTCTCCCTACTGAGAATCTCACTTTGCAAACATCTGATCCGCCACTGAATCAGGTCTGTGATTGGACAGTCACAGCTTTGCTGAAAACCCACGTTACCGTAATTTGACCTGAAGGGTCGTAAGCCTTTTTCTCTGCTTTGGTACCTGTTGGATTTTTGAGACCTCTTAAACGGTCCAGGAGTTACGGTCTTGGAGAAGAACGTGGGTCAGCATAAAAGATGGTGAGGAAATCTGTTACTTTAAATTTTTTCTTCACTTAGGTCACGTCATCTAGGAGGGTTGTAATATCAGATGTCTTAATTGATATGTGTGGTTGTGTGTGTTTGGTTAATAGACAGTAATAGACTGTCTGAAAATAGAAAGAGTTAGTTACATTCAAAGAACTGTGCAACACTCCTCCTAAAACACCTTTACTGGCTCCATAAAGCAGCAGATCCAGTTCAAGATCCTCTGCATTATAATGCTCTCAATAACCTTGTAAAGTATGTTTGTTTTATTACCAGTGCTGATAAATAAAATATATTATTGTTCCATATTATTATCATCAAAAAAGAAAAAATCTCTGAATGGGATTTTATATATCCAAGCTTATAATAAAAGTAAAACTATGTATTTTTCATCTAGATGGATTGTTGCACCCTATGTTGTCCAGTTGTTCATGTCATGCATCCATACATTTTTTTTCCAGAGAGGCAGCAGAGAGGCAAGAGAAAGTGGAGGAAACAAACACAGAACAACTACTGGAAATAACTGATATTTATATTAAAAAATACTTGTGTCCCCACACTTCTGAAATCAAGTCCATGGTTCGGACACGCAGCTAAAACGACCTAACCATGATATAGTGCCCTATATAGTGATAAGGGCAGACAATTGAACACAGCCCTTGATTTTTTGCAGTTTATCAAATTTAACAAGAAATTTGGAGCAGCATTAAAGGCAAAAGAAAGTTTTCAGCCGAGTGGGACCATTTGGATCTCACCTTTGTTTTCATTTTCTTGTCATCCTGTTTCTCTTAGTTATCACTCAATTTATCTGAATTCAAATTAATTTTAAACGGACTCTTAGGTTGATGTTCTTACTGCAGTTATTTTAAATAAAATAAATAAATCCTAGTCCACAAATATCCTTATTCACATGTCTTAAATTTCCCCGTTATAGGCTCTCATTCATGATTTACATCTAAAAATCTCAAACATTTTCAATAAAAAATAGATATGAAATAATACATTCTGGCAAACAATGGCTTAAATCATATTATAGGTCATCAGATAAGTCAGTTGACTCTGATGGCCTGTAGTGATTTTAAATGTCCAGCAGGTGTCAGTATTCAGTAACAGTATCAATACCGTTTACCAGTCTGCTGACACGCTGAATGACGCTTCATCACTAATATGAAATAAGTCAACACGTTTTTGAACAATAAGGACATTTTAAAAAAATGTTTCAGCCTTACACCTTATTGATGGAAGGTTGACTTCCTACACAGACCCAGGTAGGCCTTGCTTTACATTGAAAAAAAAAACTGTATGAAATTGAACAGTGTTTTTTCGAATAATTCAGTTCAAAAATACATTTAAAAAAAATTCCAAAAGGGAAATCGGTTTGGATGATTACTGCAATCTCGGACCCGGGGCCTGTTTCAATAAGGAAGTTCAACCAACTCTGAGTTACAACTTGAACTCTGAGTTGACTTATCCTGAGATTGGAAACTCTGAGTTTTGGGTTTCAGAACAGCTGAAATGAGTTAGTTCAATCAACTCTAAATTGACTGACTCTAAGTTAAGCACGTGCACCACAACTATAAAAAGCCATTATCAATGGAGCACAGATATTACGAGTCACCATGGCTACAGCGTCAGACAAAAAAAGGTGTGCATATTTCTCACCAGCAGAACTGGATGTGCTTATGCAAGCATATGCAGAATTTGAACATGTATTTAAAAAAAAAAGCAACACGGCTGCAGCGGCAGTTAGCTTGGGTGAAAATAGCTGCTCGAGTCAATGCGTACGTTTACATTTTAATTACTTTTATACAGTGTTGGGGGTAATGAATTAAGTTACTTAAGTCATATAAATACTGTAATTAAATTAAAGACTATAAAACAATAGTGGATTTAATATCAAATTTTAAAAGGTATATTTTGATTTGAACTTTCTCCCTCTAGTTACACACTTTGGTCAATTTAAGATTAATTCATGCAATTGAATATTGTTTATTTGAAAGCATTAGAAGTGCAGTTTCTTGTCTCTCCTTGTACTGTTCAAGTGGTTGAGGTTGATTTGGGATTTAGAAAGTAATTAATAAGTAAGTAAAACAAATGAGTAAGTAGACCAATACTTTCTAGAGACAGTAATTATTACATTAATCTAATTAGACTTGTTGAAGATAAAATTTGTAGTTAGTAATTAAGAACTATTTTAGAGTAACTTACCCAACTGTTATAATATCAGAGGTGAAACTGGAAGAACAGTATTTTATTAAACCTAATTTAGTTTTCATGGATAGGTGCAATCCTGCAGGCATCAAAAGAACATGGCAGCAGCTGAAAATGAAATATAAAAACATACTTCAAGCAGGTAAGCCTTGAGCACATCATGGGAGTAGAGTAGCTACC